GCAGAAGAAGGGATATTCTCTTGCTTTTTAGTAAACCACTCCTAGAAATAAGAAACCATATTACCTTGAAGATTGAAAGAATAAACAGATGGCAGGGACCACGCAAAGACTTGATGTTTTCTCCAACCTCTGATAAGTGTCTCACCCCCTGGAAACCTCCATTCTCTGCCTCAGCCAGAGCAGAGGCTGGGCTGGAGGCAGCTGAGGCCACAGGAGGATGAAGGCATCACAATTCAGAGCTCCTCCAGGAAGAGGTGCCTCTTCTGCACTTGGGTCATGGTGCACAGTCACTTAACACTGATATTTCCAGGCTTCTTTTTAGTGGGGAACGGGTATTCTCCTGCGGCTGTCGTCTACTTGACACCTACATAGACACACCTGCACTGAGTTGGTAAAGTAGAAGTGTAAGTTCCTCTTGCTCTCCACTCTCCGAGGGCTTGTGGAGGAGCTAGAAGATAGTGGTAGAGCTGCTTGGAAAATGGAGTTTTGACTCGGTGAAACAAGTTAGAGCATTTTGATGTTATTGTCATCTGGAATTGTGGAGTATAAAGTCAAAATATTAAAAAGTGTCAAGGAAAGAAATTTTTCTCGGAAAAAAATGATGTGGAAGAAAAAGCTTTTAGACATTTATGATCGGAATGAAGCATTTCAGTATTGTGAAAGGAAACAGTAAATTGAAATGTCAACTTACAGCTGAAACCATTTGTTTCAAACCGTATTTTCAAACAAAAAGTGTTTTGTAAGGGCAATTCAAAGCTAAAAATGTTTTTGAGACATAAACATTTTCTAAATTCTAAGGAAATCAGATTTTCCGAGAAAAACATTATCTGGAAATCACTCAGCTACCTCTAGGTTCTGAATTGCATGATGCCAGAATCATAAGCACAGCAAATGGCCCCTGGGCTTCTCATTAGCTCGGGTGTGCATAAGGGAAACTGCTGGGTTTCAGCTTCCTTGCCAGCTGCCTGTGTCCAGAGACCAGTGGTCCTTCATAGAATCATAGAATCGTCAAGGTTGGAAAAGACCCTTAAGATTATTGAGTCCAACCATTAACCTAACACTGCCAAGTCCATCTATACCATGTCCTTGAGCACCACATCTATCCGTTCTTTAAATACCTCCAGGGATGGAGACTCAACCACTTCCCTTGGCAGCCAGTTCCAATGCCTGACTACCCTTTCAGTGAAGAAGTTTTTCCTAATATCCAACCTAAACTTCCCCTGGCCCAGCTTGAGGCTGTTTCCTCTCGTCCTATCACTCATTACTAGGGAGAAGAGACTGACCCCTACCTCGCTACAACCTCCTTTCAGGTAGTTGTAGAGAGCAATAAGGTCTCCCCTCAGCCTCCTCTTCTCCAGACTAAACAACCCCAGTTCCCTCAGCCGCTCCTCATAAGACTTGTGCTCTAGACCCTTCACCAGCTTCGTTGCCCTCCTCTGGACACGCTCCAGCACCTCAATGTCCTTCTTGTAGTGAGGGGCCCAAAACTGAACACAGTACTCGAGGTGCGGCCTCACCAGTGCCGAGTACAGGGGCATTCATTCCTTCCCCTCTGAATGGAAGGGTGCAGATGCCACATGTGTATCTGCTTCCTGGCTACGTTCTGCCGAATCATGCCAGGGTCACCAAGCATTTTTAATAGTAGGTCTCTTTCCAACCTGGATAGTTCTGACCAACAAGATTTTGAAGTGTCTACATGTGCTGTTATGTTTTGGGGAGACCTCAAGCTTTGAAGAAAAGCAATGGGCAGAGGCACTAGCCTTTCCACATAGCTCAGCTGCAATCCCAGGTGGCACATCTGACTTGCAGCCACACGCTCACAGGATAAAGTTTCACAGCATGTTTTCTTCGGTGGCAAAGCTGGTGTAATAAATTCCTGCCCACGCGCCCCAGCCTTCCTCTCCAGCTCTTCAGCTGCAGCTGTGGACTTGCCCTGTAAGCCTGGTCAGCAAAGGTGTACTGAGTTAAAAACAGCTCTGTTATTCAGAGGTTGTTTCAGGGCTGGCTGAGAGTAGGGCTCCGCAATAGCTGTTTCAGCGCAGCCGAGGAGACAGCGGAGTGGCTGGCATCCATATGGCTCTGCGTAAGCTGCCCTCACTGAGGCGGTGTGGCAAGCTTGTGCAGGACCCACGTGGACCACAAAGAGCTCACCCTCTGTATGTCGTCCCGGTGTGGTGGGGGAAGGTGAGACAGAGTAAAACAGGACTGCAGGTTTGGTCCTGCTCAGTGTGACTAAATGCTCACCGTGGGGCTTGTCAGATAAAAGCTCACAGGATTATCCCTTCTGCTGCAGCTTTTTCTTACTGCTATTCTTTGTATATCTGTCTAATATTACTTAGAAACCCTTTGCACATCTTTTACTTCTACATGTGAGCTTACAGAGCGTCAAATATGAAGACTCCCATTGTACTCTGTTGAAGTCAATCAAGTTCAAATCTGTTGAGATTAAGGGATTTCATAGAATCATAGAATAATAGAATAGTTTGGGTTGGAAGGGACCTTTAAAGGTCATCTAGTCCAACCCCCCTGCAATGAGCAGGGACATGTTCATCTAGATCAGGTTGCTCAGAGCTCCATCCAACTGATATAAAACTGGTTTGAAGACAAAATCAGGCTCAAAGCTTAGTACTATGAAAATCTAGCTAAGAAGCACAAATCATTGAACCTGAAAGCAAATGCATGTTGTCAATAGTAAGGGACAAACGTTGCAAATGCACACAGTTACAAATAAGCAGTCCTAATAAAGCTGTTAAATTTACAAGGAAAATGTGCTGATTTGCTCCTTTCAGGGGAGTTAGGTTTCGTGGTCTCCATTAATTAGAATACACACAGTTAAAACTAATAAATAAATAAAGGTCAATGTGATGAGTATTTCATTTATGATGACAATCCCCCCAAAATTGATTATTCCATCATTATTACTGCTTGTTTACCTTCTGCATTATGTTCACAGCTTAATGAAAATTGCCTGACCAGGTTTATTTCCCAAATGAAATGCATAAGTACAAGTGACACAAGTTTGGGATAATACATGTATTGATACAAAATATTTAAAATCATGTCTTCTGTCCCCAGTGTCCACTTTTTTGCCTAAATATGCTTGATATTATTCTGTTACAGTGGCATCTGTTTTTTCTGCATCTTTGGTGCGCTCCACAAAATTGTTAGCCCAAAGTTTAATGGATATCAGAGGATACACAGCTTAAATCTTATAATCCTTCTTTGTGTTTGGAGGTGTCTCATTTTAAGATGGGATTAATCTCTTCTGAATTCCTTTTCTCACTCTCTGTTCCTGTCCATCTTTGTTTCTTTCCTGCCCCTTTGTCCTATTTTCTTCTGATGCTTTGTGGATGTTTTAATTATGCAAAATTTAATCTTAGAATCTCTGCTTTTTTCCCCAACCTAGTTTGGTGTGGTGGAGATAAAACTGGAAGATTTAGATCTGTAGTTTTAGGTGTGTGTCTGAGTTGGATAAAATTTTTCTTGGTTTTCTTGTTGAAAAAATCAGTTGGGTTTTCTTTAGGCTGCCTCATACTTCTTATGGTAAATGTTTGCTGTGGGGACATGGGGAAGGCTGGTGATTTTGAACTATTGACTAAAACCAGAGGGCAGATATTTGTATGTTGCTGTGATGTCCCCAGCCAGGAAGTCTTTCTACCTAGGGTTTCTCTCAGGGCAGCTTGTTGCAGCCTGGGAAAAGGTGACAGCTGGGGAGAGTCAATCATGAGGAGATCAGTGCCCTCTTTATCAAGGTGCCACCATGTTGGGATGTAAATATTGTCATCTACTGCCTTCAGAAGGTCTTTAAACCTCATATCCTGATGAGGCAAAGGACTCTTGGTAATAATTCTGTTTTCCATGAGGGACCGGGGAGGCGCTTTGCTTGTACATGTCATTGCTTGGACGTTTGAAGAGGGAGGTCGGTTATTTGCTGGTGTGGATGGTGATTTCTCATGAAGAAATGGTTTTCCAGCTTCAGCCAAGTCTTCAAAATCATTCAGATTCTCCGGAAAGTCCAAAAGTGGCTGATATATGGGCTCACATGGCATAATTTTGCTTGATGACTTAGGAGATCCAAGGTGGGCCAACTCTCTGCCTAAAAACTTGGAAACTAAATAGAATATAGAATAAATCAGATCAGTTTCTGCTGGAATGGTATTTTCAAGAAAAATAACATGTTAATATCAAAACAGCTTCATCCCATAACAAAAAAATCATTACTTGTAAAGGCATAAATAAAAGTAGATCTTGACATAGAAAGAAATTTTGCACCAAGGATTTAAAGCAAATGGTGATCAGGAGGCAGGCAATCGGCAATTTTTTGGTTGGGCGAACAGTCTTAAATGAGCATCTCAGCATGAAGTTACCTGGGTTAATTTTAGTGACTATTATTCATTTATGCTTCTAGGGCTATATATCACATTAATTTAACCATGCCATATATGTGAACAGCTGTGGGTGTGCAATAACTGGAGCAGAAATAAGTCTAAATTCAGATCTGGAGTTTGATTATCCAGTACTGTGCATCTTCTATATTTTTGAAACTATGAAAAATGATGCCATGGATGTGAGTGCAACCCCTTCTTGAGTATAAGCGAAGTTGTGACACTTGCACCATGCTCACATTCATCCTGGGAATATAAATAATTTCCTTTTTTTACTCATAAATATCTATTCTTGGAGGTGCCCTAACAGTACTAGTACCGCCCCAGGATGGCTCATAGAGAAACTAACCTGCACAATGATACGGAACAATTATTTGTAATCAGTACCTGCAGAGTGTAAACTGGATCAGGTGTTCACCTGCTAATTTTCCACCTGATCAACATTAAAACCAAACTTGGGGCTGGGAAACAATTGCTCAAAATACTTGTAATTTCAAAACAAAGTGGAAGGATATTTCTATAGCATTTTCAGGAATTGTGTTCCCTTTCTTTCCCAGACAGATACCCTAGTACACTTTCAGACTAAGATGCCAAGACTATATTTCAGTACAGTACCTTCTGGGAAGTCTTCCTGGTTTTCCAATGTAATTGTGATCTCATCTTCTTGAATAGCATCTGGCGCTGCCAGGACTAGTACAGAAGGAAATGCCCTATTGCCATAATTCCTGAGTTTTTCCAGAGTGTCCATTTCAGCCTTCTGAGAAATCTGAATTTCTGAGTCCTTATTCAAATGTTTATCAGGATTAATATTGTGTTTTTCTACTTCATTTTCCCTCTGCAAAATGATCAGACACCATTCGATCAGTATGGAACAAAAAGGCACCTTGAACTTTAAAGGAAATCACAGTATAACATGTACAATGGGAAATCTTTCCACACAAGACTTAGTTACACACATCAACTTTTCATCTGAGCAGACCCCATGCCAGAGGTTCTTCCTGAAACCCAGCTGCACATGGGCTGGCAGACCCTGCCTTTTACCACACAGGCCACAGGGAGCAAGTTTTCATGAAAACCCACTGGAGACTAGAATGCCATCATTGGAGAGCCTGTAGCACTTCCTTTGAGGTTTATGGCTCACAGAGTCTGCTAACCGATGTCTAAGGAAGACCAGGGTACCACAGAGCTCATGCTGCAATGCAAAAACATTACAGGATGCTGTGAACTAACCCTCAATCCAGGAGGAAGATTATCGTGGGACTGTTGCTGTCTGCTGTGAGGGCAGGCAGTCAGCACAGTGCTAGAGCAGTCCTGGGAAGGTTTTACAGTGGGATTGCAGCAGGGAGATGTCCATGGAGCTGTGGTAACAGGACTAAGCATCCTGACACGAACATGGGCTCCAGGACTCCCTCCTGCTGCAGTGCCATCATCCTTACTCCTACATGCATCCTACATGCACGTGGGGTTGTGTTCTCGTATGTAGGACACTTGTCTATCCCATGATTCAAGTTTTCAGAGTCCTCACCGTGGTAGCCTCATGCACGCTGAGTTTCAGGTATCAAAACCTTGTGAAAATGCAAGGGCTGCACAGTGAAATAAATCCCCTTCTACAATACCAAGTCCCATGATGAGCTATCTGCGCTGTGTGCTGCTTCTGCCAAAGACCGTCTTCTCTCAGGTCTGGCGCTCCTGAAAATGAAATTTCTGAAATGTATTGACTATCTGCGTGGATGTTCCAGTTCAATACCAAGCTTTTTTGCATGTTCTCTACATCATCTTTGACAGACCCACTTTGTCATTATGCAGCTACCACTTCAAGGATTATCTGTAGTAAGTTTTGTTCTTTTCACTGCCATCCCCTCATAATACAAACTTCTTGCTTCCAGAATCAGAGAAGTCATTTGTTTTACTATGGTATATTTATCTTTCACAGTTTTCTTCTATTCTTTGCATTGCAAAGTACTCCCCTTGTGAAAAATATGTTTTTAATCTAACATGCCATTATAAAAAGTGGGTGTAATTTGTGGAGAAAAGGCAGTTTTGAAAGCTTACATGTATTTTGTGAGTTAGCAAAAATGTTTGGAAAAGTTTGGAGGGCCCCAAACCTCAAACTTGTGGGGTTACTCCATCCTTCCTACATATTTGCAGTACCCAATCACAATTAAGGAAATTATTTTTAAAGTATTTATAAAAAGAAACACAATATGTTTAAGTTGACAACATATTGCTAAAACCACACTAGATCAATTGGGAATTTGAGATGTCATAAGCATTTTAGGCTATGCAATCAAATAGTCTCCCAGGATTTTACACACTGCTAGTTAAGAAAACAAATTTTCATCTTACGTTTTGCAAGCTGTCACCTTATATACGGTATCTCAGAAAACTTGCCATGACTGGTTTTACTGCCAGACCTCTTAAGAGCTAATTGGTTAAGCACCTGGGCAGGAAGCTTTTTGGCAGAAATGCTATTTTCTGCAAGGACTAGCTATAAAGTTCTGGATGGCAAATTGTAATCATTAAGGCTCCCTCTTCTACAACAGAACACATAAAATGTAAATAAATTGCTTGGAGAAATTACGATGCATAAAAGGACAGGCTGTGTTTTAAGTTTATCCAATGACTTATGGCTCAAATTTGAACATGGAAAGGATCTTATACTTTTTTCAGGGTCAAGCTTTCAGCAGACTTCTCTAATTGCACCCAGAAAAATGAGAATCACATCTGTTTGCATCCACCAAAACTATTATTTGCATGTACAAATGTTAACTTGTCTATACAAGGAGGAGTTGCAAATACAATGACTTGCACTGGTCTTTCAAACACAGGGGGTTTTGTACGTGAAAAATAATTTCCACAGACTTTTACAGTTGTAGATTAGAAGTTCTACTGAAAATTTGTCCCCAGGAAATTGTATGTTTCTTCGGTATTGTGCGAAAAATCATAGCATAGTCTGCTGACTGGAATGAGTTGAATGCAGTGGTTTGTGAATATGTGTTTGAATTCCAAACAATGTTTTGGGCTGATTGTGTTGGTGGAATTTTTTATTGCATATTTTTCATGAGCATTGTCATGAATGCAAATACTTTTTCGTATGTGTTGATATTGGATATGTTTGGTTCTTTTTGGACAGAATTTTCAGAACGGCTAGATGCCAACTTTCTCTACAATTCAGTGAGGGGAGGTTTTTAGTTTGCCCAAAAATACTGGAGTATTTTTTTACCAGAAATTTACTCCTTTATAACTATTAGCTGTCTGTAAATATCTCTTTTCATAGGCAGACAAGTATATGCAATATCCTTTATGATCCTAGACAGAAATAATGTAAATGAATGGCAATTTGTTTTCAGGGTACTTCATTTTACCTGCGACTGTTATTTGTTACTTATTTGTTTTGCTCATTTAGATTTCAATTTGCACTCATTTAGATGAAAATACTAATTTTTGTGCTTTAATTTTATGCACACAAGTTGCCTTGTAGAACTCGGTGAAACTATTCATAAAGTTAAAGCTGATGCATCCATTTGCACGATCTGGAGAGCTAAAAGGAAATTATGTGATTTAATGATGGATCACACACTGCTAGTAATAAACAGCTAATAGTTGGCATGATACAGAATAGAAAGAACATCTATCTATGCATTTTGAAATATCCTTGGCATAATTTGTAATACAAATATCAAATACCCATGCTGTCATAATTAAGCTCCAGTAACATTATCAAGATCTCAACAAGAAGATGAAGAAAAAGTAGAAAATTTTCCCTTGCACTCTGTTAACAATCTTTAGGCTTCTTCCTCAGTTTCAACTCTCTGTGGCCGGGTGGTTGGAGAAGTGCATTACAGCCTGCCAAAGAGGTGGTTGAATTTGGCCTCTTTTAGACCAAAGCAGAGAATCTTCCCCCCAAGATAATGCCCTGCCGGCTGCCTCCTCCGAGAGCCACCAGCGCAGCGTGGGCTAGGCTCCAGGGGAGCTGGGGGCTGCTCTTGGCTCTGCCTCTGCCCAAAAACGTCATGCCACCCGTGTGGGGCTCCGCCTTGGGATCCAAGAGATGTATTATTTTCTTTTCCCTATATACTTTGCATACGCTTAGGGCTAAGTTTTGCCATTGTGTAAGCATGTGCATAAAGTAGCTTTTGCTGAAGAATAGGTCAGAGGATACTGGAAAAATAAGGGCATTGAGTAAGAATGCTCAACTTGATTTCTTAGCCAGCCTTCCCCTCTCTCTCCCCTCTTTTTGCCCGAACCCCAGTCTTTCTCCACAATACGAATATTATTGAACATTGAAGAAACTGGCATAAGGTGGTAGCACTGATAGTGATGATTTAAAAGAGCTCCTGGGGAGGAGTGATTGCACAGGTTAATTGTGTATAAGGCTCGAATAAGAAACAACCAAGAGGTGATCATTATTAACTACAAATAGTTGCAGAGCCTAACTCCTAGCAAGGGAGAAATATAGTAATTTTCATAATACAGAAGAATATAAGAGGGGGTAGAGGGATGAAATTAAGAAACAAATGATGTAGAGTGACTATCTGGGAAAAAAACTATGAGTTTCACAAACACTCGTTGATAACAGAATAATCTCTAAATGGTACTATTAGCAGGCTTTGTGTTTATGAGTTTAAACGTAGCATTTACAAACCTTATGCTAACAAACAAGAGGAAACGAACTTTTAATGACATGGAAAGGTGGTATGAATTGGTCTTTTCTAATTTCCTAATTTCTATGTCTTAGTAACAGATATTAGAAGGTATTACTTATGACAGAATCCACTCTGCCAAATTTAGGCACCTCGCTTGTACCTATATTTCAGGTTCTCAGCAAAGATGTCCTCTTAAAAGCAAGTCATTTCCCTGCAAAGCCATCAAAGGGAGATTCTGTCTGTCTAAATGCAAATTTAAGAAATCCCCACATTGAACATGTGAAGATTTGCAGATCAGCATTGTTTTGTGGTACAGAAGAAAGAACTGCACACCTGGGAGCTACGTGGAAGGGGACATAGGGAAGGTGTAGAAATGGGGAGCTGTGATACGACACAACCAAACAGACTCCAGAGTGCGTATCCAGTTCCCATGCTAGACATGTCCCCGCCAAGTTTAGTTCAGGAAGAGGAAGTGCAAAGTCCTGCACCTGGGGAGGAACAACCTCAGGCACCAGCACATGCCAGGGCCACCCACCTGGAAAGCAGCTTGGCAGAAAAGGACCTGGGGGTCCTGGTGGACACCAAGTTGATCATGAGCCAGCAATGTGCCCTTGCTGCAAAGAAAACAAATGGTATCCTGGGCGGCATTAGGAGGAGTGTTGCCAGCAGGTCGAGGGAGGTGATCCTTCCCCTCTACTCAGCCCTGGTAAGGCCACACCTGGAGTACTGTGTCCAGGTCTGGGCTCCTCAGAACAAGAAAGACATGGACATACTGGAGAGAGTCCAGTGAAGGGCCAAAAAGATGATTAAGGGATGGGAGCATCTCTCCTATGAGGAAAGACTGAGAGACCTGGGACTGTTCAGCCTGGAGGAGAGAAGGCTCAAGGGGATCTCATCAATATATACAAATAGCTGAAGAGAGGGTGCAAAGAGGACAGAGCCAGGCTCTTTTCAGTGGTGCCCAGTGTCAGGACCAGAGGCAATGGGCACAAACTGAAACACAGGAGGTTCCTTCTGAACATCAGAAAACACTTTTTCACTGTGAGGGTGACCAAGCACTGGCACAGGTTCCCCAGGGAGGCTGTGGAGTCTCCGTCCTTGGAAATACTCAAAAGCCATCTGGGCATGGTCCTGGGCAACCAGCTCTGGGTGCCCCTGGTTGAGCAGGGGCGTTGGACCAGATGACCTCCAGAGGTCCCTGCCAACCTCAACTGTTCTGTGTTTCTGTGATTCTGTGAAAGTCACCGCTGTTTTGAGCTGGTAGCTGGCTCTGTTATTTTGGGTCAGTACTGGCTTGGGTTTAAACCTTTGACTGGAAAAATATCAACACAGAGAAAGAAAATGTCGGTGATTCCTTTGTTAAACTTCCCCTCTTTTTCTCCTTGCTCTACCAAAACCTCCAGCCTGCCTGGGAAATATATATATATACTAGGACTTCAAAAAAATAATTTGTAGTGTTATTACCTTACAATCGGGGCCATTTTTGGGGGTCTGTGCTTGAATTCAGCTTGACTCTCTGCCTTAAGAGGGCATTTTGAATGCCAGGAGTGGCAGGAAGCAACGCAGCCCCTTAATCAGCTTGTAACTTACTTTATGCACACGATTGCTTCCCTCTTCCACCCGGGTAGGATGCTGAAAGAGGTCATAGAGGACATGAAACACTACCACTTGCCTGGAAGGCTAGATCTCTAGGGGCTGTAAATCAGCTTGATATCCAGAAGAAAGCTGGTCAATAACCTTCACAATACGGCTCTTTTTGAGTGACTTACGATTTAGCAGATCCAATTTAAAATTATAATATGAAAAAAATCACATATGTGAAGCAAAGCCTCCTCCCCCTAAGTGTGCACACACACACACACTCTCCCCAACTCATATTTTTGAGTTATGGCTCTGCCTGCAAACACTGCACAGGCTGTTGCGACCTTGGGGCTGTGCGCTGTGATGGAGATCTGGATCTGCTCAAGCTCATCTGAATAATTTCTAGAGGAGTCAACTGGACCTTCTCAAAATACAGCTTCTCCGGGGCAAAGGCTTTGAATGGGAAGCTAATCACTGATGTGTGTTGTTTTGTAGCTGAAACTTTTCCTATTGCACTTATGTGTTAGAAGCTGGAATTTGGCTTCCTGTCTGTCTAGTTTCTGCCTGAAGCAAAATTTTTATGACTGAGCTGTGAACCCCTTAGTGGAGATGGTTGTAAAAGAAAAGCTTACAGCCTTTTTAACTAATTGTGGCCTTACCAGCGATTACCATAATTTTCTGAATTTATTTTTAAAATTTTTGTCCCCTCTGATCTCACTCCATGTCCCTGAGTGAGTCGGAGCTGGAGTGTGAGCATAAGATACAGTGGTAAAAATACAAAAAAGATGCTGGGAAAAGATTTTCCAATGTTCACAGCTTCCCACTCACCTCCCCAGACTTTGGATCAGGCCCTCACAGACCCGTCAGAAAGGGAAGGGATGGCGAGGTCACTGAGATGCTAAGCCTCCTTTTCCCAATGGAAAAGTAATCTTTTATGTAAAGCAAAGTAATTCTCAATCCCATTACAACCAGCAGCCCATTTTTTAAATTCATTAGTCATAAAAAAAGGTTAAACTTATCTCTGGGAAAAAGATCTCTTAAAATAATCACCTCTGAGAATGCCAGAACGTAGGTTTCCCGAGACTGCACACAGATCTGCAATTTCATTACTATTTTTGGGGAGTTTTATCTCCATTCCATGGACAACCACCTTTTTCACATGTGCTGTGTGGCTGTTGCAATGATGTTCCTCATAAGAATCCAGGGAGCACTTTATGCCTGTCATGATCATGATATCTTACCTGGGCTCTTTTGCGGTCTTTCTGGTACCTGAGCAGTTTCTTCAGCAATAAGCAATAAGAAGCCATGGCAGGAGAGGGTCTGTTATTTATTAAAATGTTGATAACTTCTGAAAGACTGAACTCCATCATTTCTGTCATGTACTTTAAAACAACAGGATTCAATTCACTGGGGCAAAGTCTGAAATATTAGGAAAAAGTATTTAAATACAAATGATGCGCCCAGGTACTCTGTCAGAATTTACAGTAAGTGGACAACACACTTTTCGTGATGTAGCTGGAGTAGGCTAAGTTGCTTGTACTGGCAAATTATGATACACAGTTGTGCAAAAATCCTGTCTGGCTACTCTAACTTCACTTCTGGGCTGAGGCTCTGTTACTGCATTATTAAATATCCTATTGTTGATATAATTGATTACCCTGCAAGGACACCCAGCAGGATTATGCTTGAAAAATTAAAAGATGGAAAACAGCATTTTCTTGTTTTAATCGAGCGTCCATATTTTCATTCTCAGTACAGTAGTCTCAAATGGATTAACAGAGAGATAGTGTGTGTGCATGTGCATGAGAAGATGGTAAGAGCCCCAAAGGCAGGAATATCCCAAAGGACAAAAAAAGAACTAAGGAAAGTGCAGGAGGGTTTTTATTTCTATATAAATCAGATTGTGAAATAAAACTGGTTATGTTATAATGATAATTATTTTACTCACAGGTTTCTGTGAGTACTAGAGTCTAGTAAAGGCATTTTAGAAATATGACAGCCTTGGATTCTGAGACTCCTAATTCATTTTTTCAAACTTGTTGAATTTCAGTATGAATGGGCACAGACACATGTGAGGGGAGGGAAGGATGGCAAAGGTAGGAACGGTCAGCAATTCTCAGAGAAATGAACAAATTGAGCCTAGATTTCTAATAGCCCTGGCTGTGACTGGCAGTGAATCGCCTGGATTGTGGTAGGAAAACCTGCCATGTGTCCTGTAGACACCATTGCAGATGGTGCAGATTACATAGGCCAGATTACTCTCTTTTTTGATTAGTGTTAAATGTTGACTTTTACAGAATGATCTGGGCACAAAATGTTTGACCCATGACTAGCTACTTTCAGCTGTGAGGAAGATGTAAAAGGTCCATCACTGAAATTAGGTATTTAAAGACATGCAAAATATACTTTGCAGCCTCTCGATATGAAAGATAAATAACATCTTCAAAGCTGGCAATATTTATATGAAGTGTCATATTTCATATATCTATTTCAAACTTCTATAATAATCTTAAACCGTAAAGTGGCTTGCTAAGAAAAAATGGAGACTAGTTAAGGCCAGTTACAGAGATGGATGAGAATAAAAATTATTAGAATAACAAGAACTTCAGTGTAATATAAAAATGTCATTCCCTCAGTGGGCATATGAGACCTAGTTTTGCAGGAAAGGATTAGAAGCACACTGTCTAGAAATTAGTGGCACCAGTGAGGCATGTTGAGAACAAAATTATTGATACAATGGATATAAGCAGTTCTGTAAGGATGTTTCCTCTTACATAAAATTTATCCATGGTTAGAAAAGCTGATGTAGTGTTTTCTGAAATAAAATTCTGTCATTTTGGAATAGCCCTGAGCAGATAAAGAAAATCTTCTAAACCAAACAAAACAAAAAAATTCCTAAAACCCCCAACTTTTCCCCCCCAAATCCCGAATCCTGAAATCCCAAGCTAGAAGAGAGATGTGAAATTTGTTACCTGTTCTCATAGGTAGCAGCATTCAGTATTTTCCTGGTGAAGCCTTCATTCAACCATTTGTCTTTTATTGCTTCTTTGACTCCAGGCCTCTTAGCAGGGTCAGGCTCAAGTAAGGACTGCATGAAGTGTACAGCTCCTGTGCAGTATTCAGATGAAATGCCTTCTTTACTAGCAATATCTGGTTATTTGAGCAGTGCAAAATTTTCCTTTTTCAGAAATGTGGCACTTGCCCTGCCTGAGCAGGGTGGGCAGCATGGGGCAAACCGTTCCGGGAGGCGTGCGATGGACCTGTGGATGCTGTTATAGATACAGCACTGGACCTCGCTTCCTAATTTACTTGATTTACTCAGTGAACACAGCCTGTGGCATCAGTAGCAATCTCAGCATTGTGCTCACTCAGCATTTGTTCAGGGCTCTGAGAAGGGGCACTTCTGTGCCAGCTGACTACCCAGGAGTTACGTTCCTCACACAAAGAAGCTAATCTCATTGATAAAGCTCTCTGTATCGAGGGAGGGAGATGGACCCTTGTGCTCAGATGACGTGGTGTGCTTTGGCTTCCTGGATTTGGGACAGAGAAAGCTCAAACATTCCCATATGTCTATCGCTCAGCTCCAACACTGCATAAAGTCCCACTCTTTTTTTTTCTTCTTGGGAAAACTCAACCAAATTCTTCCATATTCCTTGGGGATGTTTTGAAATGAGCAAAATGGCAAGAGAGCATTAAACTGGGAACTTACTGCTCCTTTCACTTGTAATCTCCTTCAGAAGAACTGAGATCTAAAGTATGCAAAGCTTGTTTACTACTGCTCTCTCACTAAATTCCCAATGGGCAAGGGAACAATGGAGTTATCTGCAATCTTCCACTAACTGTGTGGGCTTTGTAGAAAAGCAGAGATAATGCATTTATTAGTAGAAGCTATAACAATAGCATAAATAAGAAAAATTAGAAATATAATAATTGCAGCTATGGAGGGCTTATAGAAAAAATGGAGCTGCTATCTGGCAACCAATCTCCAAAGACAGATGAGAGACTAATGTACAAACATTCTGGATAGCTATGGTAGATATCCTCATACCATTTACTGGGGGAGAAAAAGAAATTGAATCATCACATTATCTTAATACTGTAACTCCAGACTAGATCCAGCTAGCTTAGTCTGGAACTGTCTGCTGCTTCCCAGCGCTTGGCTGCAGGCAGCCACTGAAGCTAATCTTGGTTCCTAGGCTCATTCTTGCCTAATGTCAGAGCAAAGCTGCTCAAAACGACAGGGAGATCTGAACTCATGCTGGTAGATAGCTAGGCAAAACATGTCTCATTCTTCTCTGCTTTCTGACTTGGTCAGTGAAGCTGCACGATAATGGCTGTGAGAAGGGGCCCAAGCCTGTGATGGTCAACAGAGAAGATGCTAGTCCAGATGGAGAGAAAATAGGGACTAAAGCCAGAGGTGTATAGGAATCATTGTAAAACAGCAGAATTTTGAGCTTTGAGGAAGTAAATTTTGGACTGCTAACCCAGAATGTATATACACCAACATGACTTCTGGGTTTTTGAGCCGTGGGCTCTACTTCAGGCTAGAGCTTTTGAGAACTATCTTTCCCAGTTGTCCTAAAAGACCCCATACACTGTACCTCATTAAAGATTGTCAGTAAAATTCATTGAAAAATGTTGTGTTTCAGTTCTTTCTCATGAAAAATATGAACAGACTTTTCACAAAAATACCCCTCCCATTTCTTTAATTATCTCAGTGTTGTGTGTTCTGTCTGTAGCCAAAAGATAAGCTCTTCGGGAAAAATTATCTAAGGTTTTGATAACTGATTTTGGGAAAAACAGGAAAGAATGTCTGGCTATGACATGTAGCATGGGACATACTACACATGACAGTGTTCTCATTTGCTGCACAGCTGCTCCACTTATGTAAAAGTAATGTACATTTTATTCCCCCTGTAAATAAGAACCAAGAATAGTGGTCTTTTGAAGAGACAACAATGTTGTTTTCCTACTAGCCTGAGATAAAGAGATCTTGCCTATGGCACACAAAAGTTATTTGTAAACACAAACAAAGCAACTGGAAAAGGTACCTCTTATTTTCCAGAAGATTACATTATTGCTAAATTCACTTTATTACATGGGATAGACCTTTTATTTATCAGTATTCTTTATAAAAATTGGAGTGCTTTACCAGGGGAGATATCTGACGGAATAGGGCTGATTTCTCCAATTAACATCTTTTGATGTAGTTGCTTGATATTAAAAGGTTCCACCGTGAAGGGTAATGTCCCAGTTAGCATAGCAAACATGCTTACACCTCTGTCAAAGAAGAAGACAAACATTAGAGCTCCATATAATGCTAATATATATTTTTTTAAAAATCCCACAAAGCTATAAGTCAGGTTTCAGAGATTTGCCTTCAGTATCAAGAACAAGGTTACAAATTACCTCTAAGCAGCAATTTGTACTGAATACACATCTTATGCCTTTTTCCTTCGTGTAAATGCCATTTTATCTAGAAAAGAATGTTGTGGGAAGTGTGTATAAAATAGACTGTACAGTGAGTGACTGGAAAGCCTGCAGTGTTGAAAGTGGAAACCTGCTGTTTATTTTTCATATAAGCTGATTGGAGTGTCGGTGTAGTGTACCCAGCCCATCAGAATAAAGCATTTCGGTTTGGAGGCTGAGTGACAACACAGAGCTGGGACTGATGCGATAGATCTTGTTCCAAATAGTAATTCAGTTCTTCTTGCTTTGCTCAGATTGCTAAATTAGGTGTGACTTATGCCTAGGAGGCATTTGTTTGGTAACAGCTTGCTCTTGGCCGAAGACTTAAAACTTTAACTCTTGCGAAAGGCTAACAGTCTGCTAGCAGTGATCAGCAAACTTTGTGAAGGTTTGCCATTCAGTTTGGAGAAGTACCAACGTTTGGAAAACTTGCTTAGCTGTCCCGAGTTTGCGAATGGGGAGGTTTCCTTGAACACTCTCCATGGTACTTCCTTGCTCCAGCTGAGCTGCGCCACCACAACAGCACTTAGCCATCCTTTGCCGTTTCTCTATTCAACTCAGTTGAGGCAGTGATTTTAAGAATTCAGGCAATTCTAATTTAATTGATCTGGTTGGTACATTAGTGAAGATGATGGTGATGTTATCTGTGAAACAGACTGTTCGTGGTGTGCACAACTGCAATCTTTTTTTAATGTTGTCAAACAGCTGATGGCACCATTGAAAAACCATGAGAAGATGGTGGCACCTTTTTCTAAATGTTGTATTGGATTGCATTTGAACCAGAGACCCATGGATAAATGCTTTTTATTACTCTCAACTAGGACTTACCTTGTCTCGCTTTAACCATCTAAAACCTAGGTATCAGTAGGTATCAATGGCAAGAGACAGGCCTCTCCAAGAGAGATTAATCACAGCTATGTTATACAGCTGTTTTAGACTACAGTTCAGTGTCTCAGGAGATGAGCTCTCTCCCTGCACTGACCATAACAGGACACTAAATGCCTGGTATAACCCAGATGCCTGGTTGTTAAATGGCTAAATTTAGGTGAGATCAATCTCTTCTCACTTTACCAAACCTTCTGATAAATCTAGTCCTTGAATGTAATGCTTTCCAAAACTTTCCTGATGAATCCTTTGAGTGAAAAAAAAACAAAACAAAACAGAGATACAAAGGAAACATGCTGCAATGAAATGACATTGAGTTGACTGAAGTAGCAACGATGATTGTCATTCTATAATACATAATAGCACATGGATTAAATGTAGCTGGAGTTGAAGCAAGAGAAGGGCGCCTGAATATTCTCTGGTGAGTGGAAGTAACATGCAGTGCAAATGGATCTCTAATGTCATTACAACATTAAATACATTTTTCTTTTCAACACTGCAAACACTACCTTGCACTTTAAATTGCTGGTGCATGATTGCTTTTGCATGATTGGTGCTTTAAACTGGCAATAGTTCTTTTCATCAGCCTACTGGATGGGGAAATCCCCAAGGTACTGGAATTTGGGGAACAGATGGAGCTGCCATCCTAAAAACCTCTTTTAAAATCTTATGCACAAAATGTAGCTAGTTAACAGTAACACACTTAGTAGTTAATTGTAGCTGGAATCTGACGGCATGTTAAACTTGAAGGTTTATTATCTATAACAGACTGCTTCTCCTCTGTCCCACTGAAGTATCTGGATTTGTTTGAATACAGCAGCTGTTCCCTCAATTCAGCTGGTGCGCGAAAGATAATCACTTTCCAGTCCTCCAAAGAATCTTTAAAATCTTATGCACAAAAGTCATGATTAGGCAAAACAGGCACTGCTGTTCGCTATTGCCTCATAGGAGCCTTAGCTGTATTGTAGTTGAATCTGGTTGGTTTTCTGAATGTGCTTCTGACTGAATATGGCTTTCTGGTTCCCATTGTAACGACTTGTCAGTCCTGCTGCATAAAGTCAGTATTTCTCCACCACACTGGAATCTTTTGCCAGAGTCCAGTCGATCTGTAATCCTTTACTTATTTTGTGACAATAGAAGTAACTTATCTTTCTAATTAATATTTTAGTTCATCAGAATTCCCTTTTCCATGACAGTAATGTGAACAATTCAGGTTAAACTGTAAATATGTTTTATGCCTAAAATGTAGAATATGTCTATATTAAATACCAGGGGCCTTATGTAAGTTTTATATAGCCCTTGACTTGTTATGTGATGTTTATTAACAGAGTGAGCTCAGTAAATGGTTCTAAGGTTACTGCTTTGCCCTCATTCAGACATCTGAAATGTGAAATAAGAATAATCCTATTTAAGTGCTGACAGCATCCTCTAGACCTGATTCGTCTGTGTTATGTCTACTTAAATTCAGAGTAGCACTCCTGAAACCCAGACTTATACTGAAGTAATTGGGTAGAATTTGTCCCTTCATCCTTAGCTTTGTGTACCATTCATATCCTGTAAATTTAGAGGAAGCTGAGGTATAAGAATCATAGTTAGGTCAAAACCCTAATACATAGTATGTCTGCCAGAAGCAGGTCTTGAGAGGAATAATGTGCATTATATATCTATGTGTATATAAATCCTTCTTCTCTTTTGAGCATATCGGAATGCTAAGCTCCTACTTTAGACATCTGAATCAGATGCCTGTATGTAAGTAGGTACCGGCAACCTTGTAGATCAAACTAAAACACTTTGTCCTCTGTAGATACACAGTTTAGTAAAGAATGCTGAGAACTCCTCAAGGAGACTGTATCCTTGCAGCTGGATGAGCAGGTGGGACATCCCAGTTCAGAGCAGTTCTATACATCCAGACCTCCTGTTCCTTCTGGCAGGTGACCAGAGTGAGGTCACCTTGGTGACCTTGGGTTTGGCTTGGGTTTGGATCAAATGCAGCATTGTGTGTTGAACAGAAGAACACTAAGATCTGTTAGGTCAATACAGTTGTGGGATGGGATGAGATGGGAGGTGGCACTTCTAAGCCAAAAAGTCCAAATACTCTTACAAGCCTTCTGAGCTGTTTGAAATCCACAGGCTTTTATCAGTGGCTTCAACAGCACCCCGATTTTCACCCTACCGCTTGTTAGTTAAGCTACTGCAGGGAATTATGGTTGCAATTGTAAATAGGTGGGAGGAGTCTGGACAAAGGTGCATTTGACCAGCCACTGGGTTTTTGAATCGTAATGCTCTAGATGAAAATTTAGCTTAGTCTATATTACTCATACTCATCTTCTATGCCCTGAATCATACCTGCTAGAAATGGGCTTAAAAACATGTTCTAGGCGGAACACTCAGACCCAGGCATATGGTCACTATCAAAACAGCTGAGGAGAAGCTGATACATGGGCACATATACTTATAGATAAACATGAACTGCCTTTGGACAAATGATGGACATGGAGAGCCGCTTTCCTATCTGAATCCATGAAGATCAAAGAATACAAAAATGGACTTAATATCATTTTCTCAGATCCATCGAGAAAAACTGTCAAAAAAGTAAAAAAACCCAAACTTGACTGCTAGAATTACTCTTCTGATGGCACCTTCTTTGTTATTCTTTATTATAAGAGACATATCCTGTAGATGTGCTGAACAAAGAAAATGGAGTCCATTCAGGTTTGTGCCACCTATGAAGTAAACAACTCCACTTTTTAATCATAATCCGATATAAGGGCCTAGCCAAGGTATGGATGAAGGTCTCTTGGCTCTGCTGTAGCCCCATCTTTGGACTGTGTGTCCCTGAGACTCAGTTTTTCTGTTTAGATTTCTTCTTTTGGCAAAGTGGACAGAAATGCCTGTTTGTCAGCTGAGGGTTTCCAGGGCTTCTGATTTTGACAGAAGTTACTCAGATATCAGCTGTACCTGTGTGCCAGAAGGACAGGAGGGTGGGGGGTTCATCTGACAGGGCTGGTACATACAAGCTCTTTCTCTGTCTTTTCAGAACAGGCTCCTAGAGCTGGATACCCTATCTTGACACAGGCTTACTCCAGAACAGCACGTGCATTGCTCATTCAGTTTTTTCTCCAGTGTTCTGCAATGGATACGTATTTCAAGATATATTTTTCACACCCATAATTTTATTTTTTCTGGCAACCCTTCTCTGATATATCTCTGCTTTCCCCATTGATGCCCCAAAGCAGAGTGTTACCAACCTATTTATATGACAGTCTTGTCTAAACCATTCAGTGCTGAGAGTGTTTGGATAAGTATATTTTTAGATCTACTTACATGGACCAGACATCCACCTTTGGACCGTATTTTCTATGAGCAAGGAGTTCTGGGGCAGCATAAGCTGGGCTTCCACACTGGGTATGTAACAGCTCCTGAGAGAGACCCTCAAACTTTGCAGTATTGCTCAGTCCGAAATCTGATGGTAACAAAAGCAAAGATGAAGAAGTTTTAGTCTCTTCTCAGAATAGTTTAACTTTATGAATTGGCTGAAGATAGGAGAAAGATGAAAACGGCAGCTGGCTTTAGCATCTGGTGACTGTGGATGCCAATCTGGGTTTGAATAAATGTGCCATGAATTAGCAGAGGTAACAGTGAAGTTACCCAGCCATGGGTATGCCTGGTTTGGTTGATTTTGCTTTAGCAATTTTAGTTTGCCTCAGTTGACTCTATGCTAGTACAAGAGCTTAGCTACACAGCTGCATTAGCATGGCTTAATGAGCTACAGCATTCAGCTCAGCTGGGTGTGCTTTAGCCGGTTGTAAACGTGGGGTAAAATGTGCTAACTTAAGCCTTTTTCTCTGTATATGTGCATGTGTGCAAGGGGGAGGGAAAAGAAAGGTGTGATTGTAAAGGACTGGCTGGCTATAAAACAGGGGTGAAGAGTTGGTACCTTTTTTCTCAGAGGTGTTAAGCTTTTAAAAGTTTGGGAAACACTGGGTTAAACATGTGGCGTCTCTAAGAGTGAGCTTCCCTTGCGGGGATTTTTCTGTGTGGTTTCCATAGAATAAAATTAATGTTTCTCTGAGCTGTGTTAACTGCTTGGTGCAAATTCCCTCATTTTTATAAATGTTTGCTTCACAATCCTAGCAAGGTTTCTGTTAGTGACCAAAAAAGTATCTTTTTTTTTTTTACACATACCAAATGAGGAGGTTTCTAGTTGGAGTAATGACTCGACAGAAGCTAATGTGTCTATACCTGCGTTTCACCCCAGAAGATATATTTCTTTGTCTACAAATCACTTCTGCTAGGAACAGCTTTCTACACATAAAAGCTGTAATTGTTTCTTGCTTCTCCAGCAATACACAAGGGAAAACAATAGGCAAAATTGTTTTCCTTGTTCTCTTAAAAATATGTTTTAGTTAAAGCTCAAATAAACAAGCTGTTAAGTTATATTTCATAAGTTTTATTTATTCTAAAAGCTCGAATATGTTTATCGAATAATCACAACCTCACTCATAAAATGTGCTGTTTAAATAGTAGCTGAACTGCCACTGAAAACCACACAAAATAAAAAGCTGAAAACAAGATTCACAGATAGTGAGCACTTACCAACGATTTTGATGTTGTTGTTCTCATCAAGAAGAAAATTTTCAATTTTTAGGTCCCTGAAATGAAGACAGAAAGCAAGTTTTAAGATGCCTGATGTCCCAGCTAACCATTTGCAGATAGTTTTTAGCAAAGTTTAATTGAAATAATAACAATAGTTCTGCACAGCTCTGCCTACAATTGTAACGAGATCCTTATTCCTTCCTAAAGTTTTCAGTTGTGAAAATGGAAAGTTTCTGTATTCCAGGGAATATTTTATGAGTACATATTTTAAACAGACCATTCATTTTAGGAATAATCCATTCTACTTATGTATTTTTAAAAAAAAATGAACAGCATTTATTTCTTCTTTTGAGTAAAAAAGAAAGTTGTGTGTACTTGGACGCAGAATGTTTTTGTCTTTGTTTGAAGTACTGAGCACTGTTGAGTATTTCTGCTTGCTTTGTGAGTAAATCATGCCTGAGAGATATGAAGGATGAGAGGGGAACTTGAAAGTAAGATCTTATGGAGGAGGGGAGATGTACCAAAGCTGGGTCAGGGACAGATACCCTGAAGGTGGAGACATCTCTGCAGTGATGTTTATGTAAAGAGGGTCAACCAGTATCAGCCGCCCCCACAGGAGGACGTAATTCAGAGCTGCAGGAAAAATGCTGTTAGCTGGGTCTAAGCAAGCAGGCGCTGACTTGCTTACTGTGGAAACATTTATATCCTTACAAATTCAAACCAAAAACCAGAATATTGCTCCACTGTGGGAAGCGCCTGAAGTGGCAGTTGAAATCTTTCGCAGCATGGGGGAATCCTCAGCCAGTGTAATTTGGGTGTTGGGAGGCAGTCCAGGAGCCTGCAATGCTTTGCTGACTCCCATCATGGCCTCCTGCATGCTGCTGGGGGCTTCCCTCAGCTCTGCAGGGGGCATGGGGGACAGAGCAAGTTTCAGAAGTGGCTCTAAGTACGTGGATTTCCCTCCCACCCTCTCTGAAGTTGTGAAGTGCTTTCATCAGCCCAAAGACCTTGGAGAGTACAGGAGGACAAACCAGAAGGAGGGATGGGAACAAGGACAGGAGCAAGGAGCAAGATCTGGGAGGACCGGTGCTGCACGAACAGCACTGCACTGCTGCAGGGGATTAGGTCCGGAGGTGTACCCGGTGGTCCCGATGGGTGGTTTTATGGGAGCGTCCTTTAATCTCCATGGTTCTGGATGGGACACCATTGCACTCAAAACCCTCTGCCACCCCAGGCTGAGAATGGGATGGAGATGGTTTTAATGATAACTTTTTAATTGGTTTTAATTTGAATAGCATGTTTTCTAGAGTGGGAAATAAGCCAGTGCCCAAAAGCTGGGAGGTAGATTTAAGATAACTTTGTTCATAGCCTATCCCTGTGACATAACTCTGTGCACTAAAACTGTGTGGTTTAAAACTAGTTGTGTTTCAGGCCACTGCAAATCTGACATTTCTATCAGATTTAGCACCCCACAGTGCACTCTGATGACTTTTACTACACTACAATTAAATAATGTTACATTGGATTGCCACAACTGCTGTTCTATAGGCTGAGCTGAGTGCTCACACAGTTAATAAAAATGTATGCTATCTTGCCTGAAAAACCTGATAATGGTCACTATTAAAGTTTACATAGTGTCAGAAGTTATCTTGCATCAAATATACATCTTTTTTATTTTCTTCCAAAGGAAACTTTCCCAGAAATGTTGTAAGTTTAAGCAACATCAAGAATTTTTTTCTCATTCCCATGGGGACTTCAGAGAGAGTGCCTAGAGGGCAGCTTGTGATGCTTCTCCAGGTCTTTGGTCCAGTAGTGATTCAAAAGGCTGTATGACATTTTTATATGGGAGAAAGGAAAATATCCAGGAAAAATTAGGAACTGTACGTACAAGTAAGTTACTGTCACTTAGCGAGCGCCAGCTTTAGGAGTTGGTAGCTGACTGTGTGCATGCGCTAGCCCAATCCAATTGCGAGGTAATGTGATTTAGCTTATATATCTTTATTTGAGGTTTTTAAGCTCAGATGCATTACCTCACCACTTGGCCATGTCTAGAGCAGGCATAGGGATAGTTAGCAGAGCTCAGTTGATGAGTGTTAGCTTGTGAAGCTGTTGAACCTGATCTTGTGCCTGAGCCTTCTTATATCTGGCACAGTAAAATGCTGTGTGCTGGATGAATAGGCAAGTGAGTCAATCCTCCAGCTTCTTGATCATTTTGGCAACTGTGGCATCAAAATCAGCCGTGATCTTGTGTGGACAAGAAAGGTACTACCTTTACTGTGAAAAGTAGACTCAACCTTAATTTAAGCCATAAGGATTTGTTGGATCAAGTGCTGATTTTAGTGCTGAATAGGGAAAGTAAAGCTCAGGAAACAAAATAGCTGTCAAAACATAGCACAGGATTTCTGATGAGCAGTATTAATTTGGACTAAAAATAGTTACAAAACTGGCCAGTTTTTCATCAAGTATATTATTAAGACAATAGAAAACACCATTTTTCCGAGGTATATCCCAGGGTTAAAAATCAGGAATGCCCATAAGACACTTCTGCGGAATAGGAAATTAGATTAGCAAATTCTTAAGCTCATCACTTAGGAATGAGACCTTGCAATCACCAGGCACCTCCATTCTAGTAAAATAAAGAGGCCCAGGGCATAGACCCAAACGTTGACTCACAATTATCCATCTCATGAAATTATTACTGTGATACATGGTGTAATTTTACCAGCACCCTCCCCAGCAATGCCCTGACACCCGTGGGGTGCTGGGGTAGCGTGGAGCAGCAGCCATTCCCACCAGGCAGTTTGGGAACCCTCCTTTCCTTGTGTTAAAGCAATGTGAAGAGTTGAGCTTTGCTTAGTGCTTAGATGAGAAAATCAGATGATTGACTTTGTGAGGTAACTTTCCTATTGCTGTGCTCATCTTTCTGGAAACATTGATGCCTTCTTTTCAGAAGAGGATACACCCACAATTATCCTCATCGGTTTAACCTCCACGGTGAGTTGCTATAAATCACTACAGCTGGAGCTGAGCGGGAAAGCTCTTCCAGATCCTTCCCAGTCTGCTTCTGGTATGAGGTCAAGCTCTGAATCTCAAAGCTAGCAGCAGGTCATGAGTTGAGGTGCTGCTGACTGAACCTATGCCCACAACCTAGCAAGACAACTGGGCTCCTGCTGGACCATGCAATTTCATAAATCCTATCACAAGGTGCTTGAGAGCCAAGGATGAATTTTCCTTTGGTTAAGTGGGGTTTAATAGTAAAACAAGTCTCTGAAGACGCTCACATCACTTTGTACGTGGCTGCTCTCAGGGCGTGCTGCAAAATTCTTCTCTCTCACAAAGCTCTCCCAGCAAAACAATATGAAGAAGAAGAAGAAGAGAAAAGTAGCAGAAGTCGTCAGGCTACTCCCCTCCTCACTGGGAAGAGTTGTTTCCAAACAAAAAGATGGGAAGAGGGCTTGAGAAATTCATGAGGAATGTTGTCATGGGAAGAACATAAATGTTATGATCATGGGCACTGAAGAAATGCTGTAAAATACCTTAGTTAGGGAACCAGCAAGGCAGGGATGTCAGCCTGGACTAAATGTGTGAAGACCCTTGGGTTTATTTTCTGGCGGGTTTTTTTTTGTTTGTTTAAATTCTCTAAGTCCGATACCGACTATTTCTTTCTTGTCTATTCCTTACTAATTAACATATCCAATATAATTAAGTGCTGGATTGCAAGCATTTCAAGTCACAAAGCACTTGTAAATGCTGAGCCATCACATTCACAGCTTATTTGTTTCATGGTTATTGTAACGATATAGTCAACAGGATTACTTGCTCGGTCCTGGGAGTTTTCTTGATGAGTGCATTTACCATTTAAAATTAAGGATCTGATTGACTGTGAATTATTAAGTAAAACAGAATACCAGTGGGAAAAACTGCTTCTTGCGTATTCTCCCACCTAAATGGAAGTCCTTATTCTACTGCTCTTGGAATATGTGCTGAGATCCCTGGTGGGGGGAAGAAGATCAGTTTTCTTTGCATGGGCTGCTCAGGATCCTCTAGCAGTGGCTGAAGTCATGATCTGTCCCCGTAATGCAAAAGCCAGCATGGAAGGTCAGTGACCTGCCACAGACCTGGACTCTCAGGACCATGTCAGCCAGCGAGCTGTGATTCCTCAATCTTCTGTCCTGAATGATGTGTGGCTATTTCAATATGTTGTGGCTAACAAAATGAAATCAATATTTATATGCATATAGCCAGACTGAAGTATTTGGATTAGATACACATTTGTCACCAGTTAATTCTGGGATAGTCATGGTGAAGTATTAATTTGTTGTGCTTATCAGCTCTTATCTTTGGACTTTGTTACTTTACTCCCCAAGTGATGTGTAACAGCTTATCTTCTATCACCACTGAGAATAAAATGCTTTATTAAGATGGGCTGAGAGAACATAGTCTTCTTTGCAATCCCTGTTTTTAAATGGGAAAATTAAGGAAATGCTCTCGGTGAAGAATAGCACTCTATGTTCTTGCACACTTGCTTTTCTTGCTGTTCTTTGGAAGGGATAACATCTTACCTGTGAACAATCCCCTGGCAATGCAGGTGCTCTACTGCAGACAGAATTTGTCTGGTGTATCTCCTTACTTCCCTTTCCGCCAGCCTCTTTTTGTCACAAATTCTGTCCAGGAGGTCCCCGCCAAGGCACAGCTCCATCACCATGTAATAGGAGTTGTCAGTCTCCAAGGTCTCATATAGCCGAACAACATTGGGGTGCTTAATCATCTGGTGTATCCGTGGCTCACGCTTCATATTTTTTAAAATGTAGGAATCCTGCTTGGCTTTTCTCTTGTCAATGACTTTTACGGCTACCTAAATTGCAGGATATATGCAAATTGGCAACAAGCTTTGCAACCTAGATTAATTTTCAAAAGGAAGGGGAGAAAGCTGACATGTGGGAGAAGCTGTTTTTCACGTGGTGTTGATAATCAGTACCACAGAGGGAGACATTCTTAATGGAAGAATACACTTTTTATTTCTCTTGAAAGCCAAAACAAGAAGGCTGAACTGTCATATCTATCCATCTGATTACATTAATAAATACACATATATGAAATGTTCTCAAGTTCAAAAAATCCCTACATGACTGCTAACTGCATCTGTACTGTACCACATTTTTTTTCTAACATGCTCCCTTCTGACTTGGTCTAAAAGCCATTCAAGATACTGGCTATAATGGACTGGGACTAGGCCCTTTGCAGTTTGGGCAGCTAGTCAGCCGGTGAAGCTACGGAAGCCATAAGAAAAATAAAAGTAAAACAGCCACTTGATAGTAATCCATATTTCCACAGTTACATCTAGTGGTGCATTATTTTAGCCCAACTGAGCTAGAGATAACCGATGTTATCTGTATCCTGCCATATAAACGATTGCTGTTGGAGTGGCTTTTCAATAAGTGTTGGCCATAGCTTTAAAGGCCAGATATGTGGCACTAATTACTCAATAAGGATTATCGGGGAAAGCAGATTTGAAATTGTCCTTATGCCAGTATCCTATTCTCTTTCAGTGGGAGGATATCTTTGTTGTCTATATTGTTTTATAATTGTGAAAACAGTTGCACTCAGTATATATTCACACATGTGACTGATTATACATGAGCAATAAACTCAATTTATGAGTTTAATTTATGAGGATAAGGTTCAGAGGATAATTCACTGAGTAGATTGTGGTTTGTGGATTAAATGGTCTGAAGTTCTCTGACATAAGTTAGTGTGAGGTTACTTGCGATTCCTAGTGCACGGTACCCTCTCATTAGGAGCTTACCTTCTCCCCCGTGGGGATGTGCAGCCCCTCCATCACCTTGGCAAAGGAGCCCTTGTTGATCATTTTGCCTACTAGGTAATTCCCAACTTGTTTGGAGTAAGGGAAAGTCTTCCCAGTTTCTTGGGGCATCTTGCTAAAACAAGCAGGTATTTTTATATCCTTTAAGTTTTTCTCCCATTCTGGTAATATCCCATCCAAGTTGCCAGTGTCTGTCATTTTGTCATCCAAGCCTGCTTTCATTGCTGTGGGCATCCCTGAAGAGTCAGGTTTAGATTGCTACTTTCCAGATGTAGCTTCTGATTCACAGCAGATCCAGGCATTAAGTCGGTACATCTTGTGGTGCAAGTGCCATCCTGCTGATCACACAGCAACTAATCCTTTCCCTCCGAGACTCCGTGTTTGTCACTGATCTCTACCCTGGGCACACAGATCTGCTCAAGCAGAACCAAGTGGTAGATTATTAACCTAACCTGATACGCGATGTCAGTTAATGCCCCCGAGCTGCAGAGTCAGATGACACATAATCCCAGCATCAGCCTGGAATATGCGGCTCTCTTCCTCCTACAATAGTTCCCTAAACAAGTTGCACCAAACTAAACTGAGCCCCAGTTTTCCTTGCGTGCATATTGCTGGTGTGCAAGGACACAATTTGTTCTAAAAACACCATGAATGCATGAATGCAGAGCTGAGTTACGTACCTGATGCTGTGTAAGCATTTACACATTTGCTGTGTAAAGCATATAAATATATATGCACTTGTAGCACATTTAAGTCCCAGGGTCCCGGCCTGATTCCAGGTCAGGTATCTTGCATTTTCTGGGACTTTATTCCTGTTTCATAAAAATGTAGCAGGGGGGACACAGAGAGAGAGTGTTTGTATGTGAGCTTTTTCCTCCTTACAGCAATGACTGTTAAAAAGAAGAAAAGAAAAGAGGGTTTTTTCTACAGCTGTTGTCTATCTGTATCTGTCTTCATTATCTGGGTTCTTTCCAAAGTCACAGAGAGAGAAAAGAGCCTTTCCAGAGAGTGCTTTCACATACCTGCAATTTGAGCTGGGAGTTGCCATCTCCCTCCACTGACTACAGTGGAATCTTAGGGAATCAAAGCCCTTCCCATAACTTAGTGCAATAACGAATCCTTTCTCCACCCTTTGTCCCTTGGAGTTGAACAATAAGTGGCACCCTCCTTGCCTGATTTGACTTGTGAAGCTCACGAAGGGCAAAAATTTGCCAGGATGAGTGAAAATGAGACGGCATTTTAAAAAAAAGTGTTTAAAATCCAAAATGGATTTACTGTACGCTTTACAGTTCAAACTCTTGTGGGCGAATTCAATGCATGACCATCTGCATGCAGCTGCTTGCAGGCACAGAGCAACCCTTTGCCTTTTACTGTCTAAGTAAAAGATAAAGTCCCACTAAGCTGAGCAGGTTTCATCTTCATAACATACTCAGTTGTCACACTTTGAGCTGTATCAGTTGCCCAGCTGGAATAGGACTTTGTTTGCTAACTTAAGTGTCTTTTTTCTGTTCCTCACAGAAAGCCAAAAACAAAGGAGACATGGTTTTCTGAGCGAAGAACGAGGAAATTCTCGTTGGCTTGTGCTTACTGTTTGTTCTGCCTCCTTCCCATCTTCCTAAACCACTGTTCATCAACTTTCCCACTAAAAACAAGAAAATAAAAGTGAGGGGAACCACTGTATGGAACAGAAACCCCGTATTTCTGGCACATGTCAGAAGAAAGGAAAAACCTTTTTTAAAAATATAACAAATATTTAAAACAGGCTGATACAGTTGGGAATGTTCAGCCTGGAAAAGAGAAAGCTCTGGGGAGACCTTATAGCAGCCTTCCAGTACCTGAAGGGGGCCTACAAGAAAGCTGGAGAGGGACTTTTTACGAGGGCATGAAGTGATAGGACAAGGGGTAATGGCTTTAAACTGAAAGAGGGTAGATTTAGGTTAGATATTAGGAAGAAATTCTTCACTCTGAGGGTGGTGAGGCCCTGGAACAGGTTGCCCACAGAAGCTGTGGATGCCCCATCCCTGGAAGTGTTCAAGACCAGGCTGGATGGGGCTTTGACATTAGGAAGAAATTTTTTATGGTAAGGGTAGTGAGACACTGGTACAGATTGCCCGAAGTTGTGGATGCCCTATCCCTGGAAGTGTTCAAGGTCAGGTTGGATGGAGCAACCTGATCTAGTGAAAGATGTCCCTGCCCATGGCAGGGGGGGGTGGAACTAGATGATCTTTAAGGTCCCTTCCAACCCAAACCATTCTATGATAGCTAGCTAAGTTAACTATTGCTATTTTTGGGGAAAGTCCCAGCCTCACACCTTGAAAAATGTTGACATCGAAAAGCTTCCAAATACCTTTCAAAGTAATTTTTTTGGCACAGTGGAGGATTAAAAAAAGGAGACAGGGCAAAGGAGCAAAAGAAAATCTACCCCTGTGTTAGGGAGTCCATGACTACTGATCACAAGCCAAATGAAGCTGAAATCCTGTATGATAAGGGAGCCGTTTGCCAGTGCTAGTAGTGTCTCTGCTCTGTGATGTGCTGCATTGCAATGTGAAAAAAGTGTGAGAAGAGACCTAATAAAGCACATCTTTGATAGAAGAGGGATGCCAATAAGAAATAATCTCTGGCAAGAAGGAAGGGTTAGCACCATAGAAGGAATGACCACCTTAATTGCTTCAAAAAACTAACAGCTCTCTTCCCCAAACAAGCCCTGGGCTAAACCATCACATATTTTTACCACTTTGCACTCATTTGGTGGTGTGGGAGGTGAGGCGGTTCTGCTGCCTTGAGAAATAAAAAAACTCAAACCAACAAAACCCCAGATCTGAAGAAGGTATATAGTTTTCCTATTAGCAAGTGAAAAGAAGGTTTTTATATAAATTGGAGACTAACTCCTGGTTTGAGAAGACAAATTTTGCTTTATCACTCCCTTTTCTTAGTACCCTTCTAGGGAAACTGAAATGAAAAGTGTTTCTCACGATACCTGCGCTACTGATCCAGAAAATATGAGGCTGTGTGTATGTGGGAATTAACTTTACGCAAAGGCCAGGCTAGTTAAACAACCTCATTACATCCAGCAGGTATAAAACAGCACGAGCAGGAATTTGTCACTTCGCAGCCACCATCTTGGATTTCCTCCTGTGAAGCAAAATCCTGACTGTAGCTGTACCCAAAGCTTTTCTTGTCTCACATTAGAGATGAGGCAACGTGGTCCTGGTTTCTGGGTTTTGCCATTGCAGGATGAAGCCTTGGCTTAATGAAAGGCTGGGTTTTGCTCTTTGGACTAATTCTTTTTGAAGTCCTGATTTATACTCCTGTGAATACTGCCAGTTTTGTAAGATCTAGTGTGAGATTTTTCAAAAGGGCCAAAAAGTCATATTCTTAGAGCTGTGAAGTCCGACTGATTTGACTCAAGAGTTCCCCTGAAGCCTGCCTCTTTGTGGTCACAGCACACATGCCCTATCTAAAGATGTGCTTTCCACAGGCACCAAGTGCATGCCGACCTGGTGGGGGGCCGTGTTGCTGTGTGGGAGCAATGCTGCGGTGGGCTGGGAGACAAGGCTTGTTAGTCAGGAGGCAGCATCCTACCAGAGACAGGTCTCGTTAGTTGGGAGGCAGCATCCTATTCTCAGGACAAAAGTCAGCCTCTCCTCCTGCATTGACATTATAATTTTCATAGGAATGTACCGGCACACACAGAACAAGTGCAAACATCTCTTTTCCAGGAGTAGTGCTTTAATGCACGCATATTCTTAGGTGTTTTGGCAACTTTCCCCACTCCCTTGACTTTTGACTTTCCCACTAACTGCTGCTGTCTGCTGCTTGAGGTACTAATGATGCTGGCTTAGGTCCTGAGCTTGGCCCGCTTCGGAGGACTTGAAGGTTGTGAACAGTTCATATTTCCACATGGCTTAGGTTACCTGGGTGTAGGATGTAGGCTCAGCAGCTCCTTCTAAGACTGAAAGCTTTTCAAGTTTCATGCTGAGAAGTGGGGATTTCCTTTTCAGAGAAGGAAATCCAAGATGGTGGCATCTAAATGTGGTGAATAGAGCAAATAAGGGGGAAAAATGGTTTGAAGACATGGTAGGAGGAATTTCATCTATATAGCAACCTCACAGTTTGTGTTGTAATAACTCTCAGATCCTGGAACCACTTCAGTCTGTGTTTTATAATGTACGTAAGACATGCCCTTATTGCACTGTAACACCTGCCATATTGTAAGTTATTTCTGACTTCTCATACACTTTTTGGCAGCCATGGAGTTTACTTTAGAAGGTACTGCATGTGCAAGTTCAGCAGCTTTTCTGAAGGATTTACTTACTGCCACGTGTTAAGGGGTTAAGAAGGCATGCACTCAAGGGTGGGTCAGACTCTTCTCCCAGAATGGTGTAAATCAGGGATTGCTCTCTTTTGAAAGTCGTAGTACTTCCTTAGTCAAAGAGGTGACTATGCTTTATCACCAAGAGACCAGTGGAATCAGAAGCATATGGGTTGTTATTTTCTTGGTATCGATCTGGTCCAGCACTCACACAAGTGAATGGGAATATTTCTTTTGTCTTCATAAAGAGCTGGATCAGGCTGTAAAAGCGCAAAAGACTTTGTTCTCCATAATATATTAAATTTTAATTCATGTAAGTGTATTTCCAAGATGTCACTCATGAACGTGTTTTACTCACACAATCCATATCACCACTTAATTTGTATCTGATTCTGCACTGATTCCTTAGGCTAGCTGTTAAATTAAAAGAAAGACTAATAGGTTTACTTTGCAGATAGTCTTTGTCTTTCTGCCATGCAATATATGCTTATCAGGTTTGCAAAAATTTTCTCATGCATGTGGATACTTATTTTCAGATTATTTTCCATTTCTAGAAAAGAAATCTTGCACCTTTATTAATTGTCCATGAGTACTGATTCATGCTATATTTTAGATGGAGTATTTATGTCAGACCTGTATTTCCTCCAAATGAGGGTCTTTGTTTCTAATGCATGTTGGCAACTTTGATCTACTAACCCTTACTTGACTCCTTGCGGTAGCCTATATAGTTTCTTTCATGTTTCAGTATTGTGTCTGGTTCTTGAATGTGTATAAGAATATCAAAACCAAAAATCATCCATATTGGGTCAGACTGAAAGTCTATCTGGTCAGTGTCCAGTCTTTGAGCGTGGCCAAAATGAGATACCTGGAGTCAAGCATGTCAGGTGAAGCCTATATGATACCTCCCAGTAATACATTCCAG